TCATCATGGTTCATCATCATAGGCCTACCGTAGGTAAACATAGAAAGAGCAATAATAGTAAAACTCGAGCGTCACGACATTGCGAAGTGTCTGCTCTTGTTCCTCGTATCGAACTCAGTCGAGTCAATTCGAGATGGCCCTAATGAAGTTTCATGCAAATGTTTCGTACGGGAAAAAAAATCGCATACCGTACACCGCGCGACTTTACCTTGGGTATCAATCCTGTGAACAGCAGAACAGGAATAATCTCAGATCCATGGCAACAGATAGGACGCCCTCTTTCAAAACTGATTACTTTCTCTATGTTTTTCTCTTTGGTATAATAGCGCATGAATGGCGCCCTCTTGCTAAATTGGAAACTTTTGAACCTTGACCGACGCATCTATTTGTTACGCTTAAAAGTGTTTATAAGATCTTTGCTATTCGCCAACAAGCCGCCATCCCCAACCACAGAGGCGGATTATTACTATAAAACGTTCCATACTTAACCGCTGGTATATCCCCAAAGGGGGGTGGTCCATTGTATCATCCCCCAGTATTTTGACTATGTATGGGATAAAATGGAGTTTTACACACTTCAAAAGACTGTCACAGAAATAATTTGCACTGTCTTATGCGCCTACAAAGATGAAAATTAGCATAATGTATTAATGTTGATAACAAAATTATTTTATCTGGTACCAATCTAAGCTCTTCTTTCCTTAGATGTTAGATGTGCTTGCAAAGAGAGCCACATTTCACACAGAAGTGTGTGTACGACATCAGTAATGTTATGTCAATTCCAAGAATGTTTAAGGTTATATCGGTTGAGGAATTTATTATTTTCCAAAAACAAGGTTTCCAGCTGCAGAGTGGGGCACATCCACTGTCCGCACAAGGGCACACATTTGCGCTAACACTAGGCGCGTAACAGCCGTCTTGGGTCAGAGTGGGTATTTATTTTCTTCGGTTAGTAATTATTTACCATACCCACCCACGCCACTCCCCATACAGAAAACAATACGACATAGGGCTTATCTTATTTATAATATAGGCCACACACGTGTGTTTGAAACTAAATTAAGCATTTTCATCATGGTTTTATTTATTACAAACATATTCTTTCGTCATCAATACACGAGGCCCTTCTTTTAGGTTAAAACAATCTATCTTAAATTTGTCTTTCTTGAGTTTGGGAATTATGTGTTTAAATAACTTAAAAGAATAAACCTAAAAAAGCCCTAAAAACGCAAAATATTTTTGTGTTTTTAATTCTAATTTCGTCGGAATTGATGAAAACTCCCTAAAATGTGCAATTTATAGAGCAAATTGGCCTACCGTAACAAGAAATGCGCGCAAAGAATTTTAGGCACTTTCAGAGGCTATTTTCACAGACGCTGAGAAGCGTGCGGAATATTCGTCGTTCGATTCTCCGAATTTGGATCTATTCCAAGGTCTTGCCATTGCACTGTTGAATTAAGCAGCCGCGAACGTCATGAGGAAAATTATTTAAGACCGTTTTAAGCCTCCTCCGCGTGTTGGCAGTTGGCAGTGTAAGGGTTAGACCGCGGTATAGCATGGTCTGGGCGGATTGCTATAAAACGGTCTTAACATGGAGGTATTATTGCTTAATAACTGGTCAATGGTCTACTAATAGTCATAGACCAGTAGTGACGTCACGATTATACGCAAGCTAACCGTCTAAAGACCGCTTATAGCAATCCGCCACAGCTGACGTGTTATCATATTTGTAATAACACTTTACTACTACACTGTATACACTGTTTTTATACAATTTTATGGTATGATTTATTTTCATTTTTTGGTACAACTTTTACTTTATAATTACTGACTTTATAAATTTCATTTTTTAATTACTAACTTTATAAACTACTCATAAAACTTTTTCATATAAAGAAATCACATAAGCTCCGATTCGATTTCGAATTATGAAATGTGTAGGCTGCCGGCACCTTTGACAATTAGTGCCTTCAAATCTTTACAAAAACGTAATACAACAATAATGACATGCTGATTAACTATTTTATAATTTTCAGTATATTCAGCCGCGCTCCGAATTCCTTTCCTATTCTTTCATCTTACTTTATTCTTTTTAATAATAATAATATAATTTGATTTTTTTTTTTG